TGTCTCCTGAGTTGCAAATAGATCGACCTGAGCCTGACCAAAGTTCTCCCATAGGAGCTCCACTACCTCGGGGTGGAGTCTCCACTCCCCGGGCCTCAGCCCCTGCCTCGAAAGAATATTGGCCCCCACGTTCAGATACCCCGGAATATATATTGCCCTCAGTGACAACAATTTCCCCTGGGTCCATAGGAGGATTTGCAGAGCCAACTTGTATAAAGCTCTGGACCTCAGACCCGATGGTTGATGTAGGAGACCACCGAAGTGTTGTCTGTGTGGACAAGCACATTATGGCCCCTCAGGTCTGGGAGCAATATACACTAATATAGCTTCAAAATAAAAAAGCTAGTAAATAAAGAGGAATAAAAAAAAGCATTACAAGCAATAAACAAAACTAAAAGAAGGCTGTCTGAATGTTTTTCATTCAAGAGCTGGAGTGATTTTCCCCTCTCAGTTTAGATACGATAAACTGCATTCACACTAATGCACATATCTCCTTCGAAATTGTAAATGTGGTTTGTCCTGTTGAAGATATAAATTGACCGTGTTTACATTAATTTTGTGTCATAAAAGCATTTTGAGATGCAAGTAAATTTAACCAATGAGTCGCTCACAGCCGTATGCACGAGCACTCTTCAAAAAGCGCACGTAAGTATTTTAAAATGATAGCAGCCTTCTCAGTGATTTTAATGTTTATAATATATAAGCCAACTGCATTCCAAAAGACATAAATAATGCCTTCGTGGAGCATAATGTAAGGAACATTCAGGCGGCCAAGTAGTACAATCAATGTGCCCCATCTGTGCAACTTGACTTTAAAACTGGTTAGTGTCTTGTTAGTAAGCATTAAAGAAATATCTAAACTGCTAAATAACAAACTGAAGGGTAAAATAATAGCAGATTTGTCTTGTTTTAAATAAACAATATAAACGGAGATGAAAAATTAACTTCAGTAAGAAATGAATCTTTGCTATGGTTAAATATTTGGCAATATCTTACAAAGATTTTTATTTTTATTTTGATGCATTATTTCTATATATATATATATATATATATATATATATTGATATGGCAACTAACAAATACTGTACATTGAGTTTCGTTATGCTATAGCATATGTGGAAATGTTTAAATGATGTGTGTTACAACAAGCTGCACATTAGGTTGTGCCCCACTCACCCCATGAGGATGCTAACTGTGACAAGTGATTGGCAGACCAGTTTGCAGAATGCACAGAATGCACATTTTATGATGTGTTAACATGTCGCAAAACTTGTCAAGTCTTCTGCTACATTTAACCAAAAGTATGTGCTTTCCAAAGACGGACTCATTTTTATACTGAGTTTAACATATTTTCTATTCTCTAACCAGGGGTGGGCAAATCTGGCCCACAAGATCCACTTTCCTGCAGAGATTAGCTTCACACTCTAATAAAACACTTTTTTCTTTCAGCATTTTTACATTTTTAATAAAACATTATTTAGCCATTTGTATTACAGGCACTGCTGGATGCTCTCATAATGTAAAGGCAGAGACCTGAAAATCTGTATACATATAGTCAAACCAGTACACACACAAACACACACTAAAATATTAACATCAAATTTAGTTTGTCATTAAATTTGTCAAATTTAGTTTGACTTGTGAATGTTTATTAAGCTATCTTTAAAAATGTTAAAAAATGTTTTCCAACATGATGCAATTATTATAACATTTAGTATATATCTTTTTCTGCACTGATACTGTGGAAATTTCAAGCAGTCTGCACCATGCAATATGAGTGCTATCTAAATTATGTTTTAATACATTTAATTAGTGGTTATTCACAGTACTATTTTCATGAAGTGACAATCTAATATGTACTGTAAGTATTTTGAATATAATACTTTTATGGCCTTATATGAATGGTCAAGAAGCACTTCACATACAGCTAATTAGAGTTATCAGGCTGTGTCACAGTAATATATGGATAGCATGTGGAGTTTTTCAGGTCACTTGGATTGGTCCCAGGTTACCCTGACATCAAACCTTTGTAGCATGGCTTCCTCGGCAGAGAGTGAGTGGTTACTGTGTTTAAGAATTAAACTGAAATGTCACAGCATGAGCAATGGTAAGAGTACTAAGGAGTTTCTAATATAGAAAGAGTCAAGTGCATTAAAAATAAGACTGCACTGAAAAATGTTGTATTCTTGTATTGGTGTTTTTTCTTAAACTTGAATAAAACCAAACAATTTACATGCTAATGGTTGAATAAAATTAACATGAAGTAGTACATTTGTTGGTTAACCTGACAAAACGTTTTAAAGAGTATTTTTAAAGTTTAACTTTATTTTTCATTTGAATAAAGTTTAGTCTTAAATAGATAGTTTTATTTAGCTGCAAAAGTTGTAAAATATAAATGTATAAAACCATGCATAATACACGTGAGAGATAAAAGATTGTGATTTTACTAAAGTAGAAAGTAAAGTAGATAAAGTAAAGTAGATAACGTAGTAAAGTAGAGTAAAGTAGATATTCATCATTCAGCATCCACCAGGATTAATATTCTCATCAATGAGAAAACAGGCAAAAACATGTACTATAAGTGAACATGGTGGTCCTTACCATATCTACTAGTTCCGTTAAACAATACGGGAGAGCTGGAAAGTGTAGACCGATCGGGGTCGCCTGCTCCTCTGCTGTGGAATGAATGAATGAATGAAAAACGAACGAATAACGCGTCCGATACCGAAAGCGCTGGATAGTGACGCGAGGTGGCGCGGTGATGCCAAAAGAGTAACGGAAGTGAGGATGACCAATAGGGGCTCACGTCTTGGCTGTTACGATAGCATGGACTATCAGACGACGGGTTCACAGTCTGAACGAAAGCAACCCTGCGAGGGCCCACATGGGGTTCAGAAAAGAACCCAGTCACCTGCCAAAGAATTTCCACGCTTTAGTTAACGCTCCAATGTGATACATTTAATGAAAAAAAAAAAAAATTCACTATTCCTATAAAACCCAACTGTGTGATAGCGGGATACATACTTATAAATACCCGTGTACTTTTGCATATGTAGCCTAAAAACAAGTAAATTCTCGCAAATGCGGTTCAGATACAACTAGGCTACCCCCTGCAGTGCCCCAAGTACTGAGATACATGTTTGTATAGTCTGAAACACAAATAGAAAGTCAGCCTTCCAAAGGACAGTGTTTCAATGAATTAGATTTTAAAACAATTTTTGCAGCACATCAGCCTAGTGGGGTGGATGCAGCACACAAAGGCAAACGTTTTTCATCTTAGCAGCCAATGCTATTTGTAGTAAGTCATTAAGTATATTTGTTGGTATGTTTTATGAAGAAAAAAACTTTTAGGCACTGAGAATAAATATTTAACAAGTAAATATGGGCCTACACACTTTATTAATAAATGTTATACCTAGATATACCAGTTTATGTTAACATTAAAAAACGGTTTAACCCCTTGATTATTTCTTCACTTTCTTTTTTAAAGGATAGTCCACCCCAAAATTTAAATTCTTTCATCATAATAGGCTACTCTCCCTTATTTTGTTCACTTTTTGTGTGCCCCTCTCTTTAATGTTCATTTGATTGAAATGCTGCCATCTAGTGTACATATGAAAAAAACATATTAAAAATTTTTAAAAATTGCATTCAGTCAGGCTGTCTTTTCATTTACTGCTTCGCATGAATGGAACTCAATACCCCTACTAATTAGAGAGTCTACATCTTATTACTCATTTAAGATTAATGTTAAGAAATGGCTTATTGAAAATCAGCACTGTCAACATTGATGCGGGTCCAATTCATCAACAATAATTGTATCGTTTATTAACATCTAATTATATTTTATATCTCATGTTTATTTGATTATTTGTGATTTTAACACAGTCTATTCTTTTTACTTTTTGTTTATTGTATATTGAACTGTATTGCATTGTTATTATTTATTATCTTAGGATGCCTAGTAACATCTGGCAAGGGGACTGCCGATGAAAACTAGCCTGTGGCTAACTCGGGTGCACTTACATTTGTTGTGAATGTTGATTAGTGTACATTGTCCCTTTCCAAATAAACAAATAAATAAATATGAGGTTACAGATAGGTGATGCCAGTGGGTACTGGTAGGCTTGTTTGAGATGTGCTTCGCCTCGCCTGCAATGTAGTCAAGAGTAGGCGGCTGCAGTGAGGGGAGGAGTAAAAAAAAGAGCAATCAAGCCGGACAGGTCTCGGTTCTCGCAGTGGATCAGACACCTGTGAGATCAAAGTCTGATATCGCGGGATTCACGCTCGTGCATGTATTGCTAATAAACTGGATGTGATTTAAGAAAATAAATATAATGAACAAGACACCCAAAGTACTTGTTATTTAATAACATTCCAAATATGTTTTTACCAATCATTTTTTTCCAGTGGCGGCTCCTGCAAAATCTCTCAGGGGGGGCAAATATTTGGATGATTGATGAGGACAAGGCCCACCCATGCAATGGATAAATTAAGAGCTTAAGCATATAAAGTCAACTTCACTTTAATATTAATGACAAATAAAGTGACTTAATAACAATAAATCTTCTTGTTTCTACACTCACTATTATTATATCACATTAAAGAGATTCGGCACACAAATTAAGATATTTTTGATTATATCTAAGAGCTGGATCACTCCTCCATAAACAGCAAATTCTGTTTTTTGGAATAAACTCTGTTTGTTAAAATCAACTCAATCTGAGTGTACATGTGAAACCATCAAATAGACTCCAGCGCAGAGTTAAAATAACTCTGCTCTTGGAGTTGAATTTTTAACACTTTTAAAGTTAAAATTTATGGAGTTAAAATACTAAACCTAGAGAGAGTAAATGTAACTCTAAAAATAATTATATGAACTCATTACCAGTGTTAAAAAGTAACACTTAAAAAAATATTTAGTTTAACACTTATTAGAGTTAATATTTATTTAACACAATATAATGTTTTGTGTGGAAATTACTACACTGAACACCATATTCTTGATTTAAGTTATTGCCTTTATTTCAGCAAATCCATTTGGTTCAGACTTGAGGAGGAGTAACCTTCAACCGCTTGTCTGCAGGACAGTCGTATCTGAAGATCACAAAAACAACAGTAGGCTATGAGGCATAATCTAGCACCATTCATTGAATGCAAAAATATATTAGCTGAAAATCACGCACATCGTGGGTCACCACCACTAATACGTAGCCTAACGTTATTATAGCTGTAACAATTCAAATAATTGCAGGCCTACACAGCACAACTATATCTTATTATTTTCCAGGGTAACGTTAGACACTGCAATTGAATTGTGTAACCACGTTTGCCTGGAATGGTAATGCATTGATGCATCAATTTCACGGTAAAACACTCATTTTCAGAAACACGGTGAATGGAAAGACAGTTAGCTAATGTTAACTCGTTTACATCGACAAAAAACCCACGCAAATAGCCATTTCAAAATTTGAAACAAGTAGCTAAACAAACGTTCAACAGCAAGTTTGTCATAGTCGTTGACTTTAGTAAACAGTATAACTAGCCTATAACGTAACAGCTACGCGATGACCAAACGTGTTTGTCAGAAAATATAGAACATTTTTAAATAGTTTTACTCGTTTACCTACCTCACGACGAGGCACATAAGTCCATTATTCCTTTGTCCAGCGGCAGGGTCGTGTCGTGGCGCACTTCTCAAAAATAACTCCAGGTGTAGCTAGTGTTAAAACCAAAACACACTCCTGAACACCAATGAATGAACTCCAAAATACAACACAGCCGGGGAGTATCCAATAACACAAAGTGTAGTCAGAGTTTAAAAAAAAAAAAATAATAATAATAACTCAAAAGTAACTCTTTCACACTTTTTTTTGCCTAACTCATGATTTTTAAAATCTTGAAATTTGCTGTGTAGTCTTGACTGTGTTCGCCATGGCGTTGTTCTACTGTCTGTAGCCTCAACTCGCGTCTCGCGAGATGTCCCAACACACAGTCTCTCTCGCTCTCGCTTTTTTTTTTTTTAAATCAATTTGATAAAGATAACAAAGTAGTGTTTCATTTTTTATTCTTGCTGTTTGAATTCAAAATTGTTTTAAAATATTATTTGTCACTTAATATTAAAGATTTTTAATAGTGTATGTTTGTTCCCACCAATCGCTGCACAAGTTAAGGATACGTATGATGATGTAAGCACGTTAGTGCGAGCCCTCCCGGAACCCACATAGATATCTATGGGAACTTCTTATGTTTTGAATAGTGGTCTTCGTGGTATCGCTGACCAACAGATCCTCATCAGTCAGTTGGCTGATGATACCACACTTTTTTTGCATGATGCTAACCAAGTTCCGTTAGCTCTAGAGCATATCCAGCAATTCTCCAAAGCCTCGGGCTTTAGTATTGAACTTTTCGAAATGTGAATTGATGTCCATCAAAGAGTGTAATTTGTCTCAAATTTGCAGAGGTGGAAGTAACGGATTACAACTACTCAGATTACTGTAATTAAGTAGTTTTTTCGTGTAGGCTACTTGTACTTTTATGAGTACATTTTTAAGTCTGTAATTTTCCTTGTACTCGAGTACAAATTAAGTTAAGTAATGTACTTCACTACTTTAAAAATCCCATTAATTACAAAGTACTTGTACAATTTGAATTCAACAATTATTCAAATCTCTGACCAGCATTTGGGTATCCAATAGAAAATATCTGATCGTGGGCGGGCCAATAAAAACCCTTGTATTTGGAGCGGGAAAAAAAGCCCGGTTCCTGGAGAGCTATATTCGTCCTCACACGTCCTTCAGTGTGTATTTAAGTGTTATCAAAGAACTTTGTCGTTATGGACATGGAGATTCGAGACACTGAATTCATTGAAAATTCTGAAGAAATACCAGATGACGAGTGCCCATGACCCCACATGGAGGAGTTGTTCTTATACAGAGGAAGGAAAGGAGACAGCGTGCGTTTTATAGAAACTTTTTTTCCGCAGTGATTTCGGCTTACAAGACTTCAGCCTCTAATCTCAAAAAAATACATTATGGTAAATTTATGTCATAGTTCAGTTGTTTTCATTTTTAAAGTTGGGTAGACCTCACGATAATTTGACTAAAAACATCACTTGAAACATGAGCTTCAGCGTTACTCAGGTGACAAGGGCATATATACTGTAATAAAGATTTAGCATTGTAAACTTAGATTAAAAGTTATATTGTATGTCATTGTCAACACATTGTTTTATTAATATTGAATCAGTGTTTTAAGCTTACAATGAAGAGTTTAATAATGACTCTTTCATAAAAACAGTATCTTGCCGGCCACGACCCACTGGCATAACAGTGTAACTGCACTGGGGTGCGTTTCCCGAAAGCATCGTTAGCCAACTTTGCAATGATAATGTTCCTTATTTTGTTATTTCAATATAATATAAAATGGATCAAGCAGTTTCATGATTGTAATGCTGAAATGTACTGTATGTTGTATGTAGGGATTATAATTCAGCCTAAATATTATAAAACCATTATATGATCACACTTTTATTTTATTTCATAGACATGCAAGTTATGCATTTTTGTTGTGAATATGTTTGATATCTAATTTGGTTTATTCCTCATTAGAAGTATCATATACATTTGTACATACACATATACATACACATCATATACATATCTGTATGGCATTTAACACACACTGTGATATGAAGAGATAATGGATTGTTGTCCCGAGATCTAATTGCTGAACCAAGATTCAACACTGTCATACTGTGTTTCAGCAATAAAGAAACCTGATCCAAGAGATTGTTCGTTGTGTTCGATGTGTAGCAGCAACAGTAGAATGGACTGACCCGTCACAAATATATATCAGTTTCAATTTGAAAAAAAATTAAAACATGGCCTTCATTTGGAGAATTTAGCTTTATGAATATGGAATTTACTTTTATCACTGTTGTTTAAACCAATGAGCATTAAGCTGTGTCGTCAGCAAGTCGTTTCCCATCGTGCTTTTGATCAGCGCAGTCGACGGAGAGCAACTGCGCGCGACAGCAGAATCCGACAGGTGCGTCTTGCGCTCGCAAGAGTTTTTTGACATAGGCTACATTGGCATAGATATCTATGGGCATGACATCAGAGCCAGGCGGACCGCTCTCGGACACATTTCTAACCAGCATGCATCTCGCGCTGATCACCGGTGATCGGTTCTGCGCAGATTTTGCATCTCAAACAAGCCATTTCTTATTTGTGCATCCTCATTTCCTTCATCAGCACCACCCCCAGGATGCGCGGGAAGGATGCTTGTTGAAAAAACTGACGTAGCTACGTATAAATTCTCACAATCATTTAAATTTGTGTTTTAACTTTGCAGTATAAATAAACCATATATCTCACATATTTCAACAGGGAATCTTGCTTTATTATTATTTATTATGAAATTCTAAACCAAACCTTAACAACACAAGAGCAGATGCCTTGAGCGCAGCTGATAATGCTTAAAGTGACGCTCGAGTGATCAAGAATATACTAATGGGGCTGAGACAAAAGGAAAGGAAATGAGGATGCACAAATAAGAAACGAGAAACACTCCTTGCATCCTCGCTCTTAGCTCCTCTGGAAGCTTACTCACTCCATGTTGCTTGCGGTGCAATTAGAGAATTGAGATGTCCTTTAAGAGGGCTAACTTTAATCAGTTTCTGGGTCTCTGTCATGATAGAATCAAGGAAGCAATTGCAGTTAAACTCTTTTAATTTGTAATATGAAGAACACACAGAGACAGTCCATAAACAGGCAAAGAGTTAGTGACGCAGGGGATCCGATGGTCAGGTGCAGAGTGCAGTGGTGAAGGTGGTGGTGAATCCAACGACGAACAGTATCCAAACGACAGAGAACAAGAACCAGAGCTGAACACGATTGAGCGAGACAGGAGACAACACACCGGGAACCACAAACAACGATCTGACGAAGGAGATGAGAAGTTGATAAGAATATATACACAAGATGATTAACTGCAGCTGGTGATGATGATTGCTGATGAGCGCTGATAGAGCGGCACGCCCCCCTATCAGCGCACACACACACACAACAATAACAGAAACACGAGACGAGAAGTAGACATAGGATTTACCAACCGTGACAGTACCCCCTTCCCTAGGAACGCCTCCTGGCGTTCCCAGACTCCCTTACCTGCCGATTGTAATCATCGATAAGGGAGTGATCCAGGATGTCTCTAGCCGGTACCCAACTTCTCTCCTCCGGACCGTAACCTTCCCAGTCCACCAGGTACTGGAATCCGCGCCCCCTCCGTCTCGAGTCCAGCACACGATTGACCGAATAAGAGGGTTCCCCGTCTACGAGACGCGGCGGGGGGGGACCGGGACTGGCGGATTAATGCGAGCATAAAAGACGGGTTTAATTTTGGAAACGTGAAAGACGGGATGAATCCTCCTGTACACTGGAGGAAGATTCAGACGGACTGTCACCGGACTAATGATTTTGGTGACAGCAAACGGGCCAATGAATTTGGGTGCAAGTTTATTCGAAATGGAACGGAGTGGAATGTCCTTAGTAGAAAGCCACACTTTAGAACCGACGACGTATACGGGAGGTCTCCGCCGGTGGCGATCGGCTTTGACCTTGGTGCGCGCCCCCACTTGGAGTAGAGTCTCACGGGCTCTAGTCCAAGTGCGGCGACACCGCTGGACGAAGGCGTGGGCGGAGGGGACCGTGACTTCGGATTCCAGACTAGGAAAGATAGGTGGCTGGTAACCTACACTACACTCAAAGGGTGATAGGCCCGTGGATGACACTGGCAACGTGTTGTGGGCGTACTCCACCATAGACAACTGCTGGCTCCAGGAGGAAGGATTCTTGGACACTAAACATCGCAACGTTCTCTCCAAATCCTGGTTGGCTCGTTCAGTTTGACCATTGCTCTGGGGATGGAACCCAGATGAGAGACTGACAGTCGCCCCCAGCAGTCTACAAAACTCTCGCCAAAATTTGGACACAAATTGGGGTCCTCTGTCAGAGACCACGTCTGTCGGGAGGCCATGAAGCCGAAAGACGTGGTCAATGACACTCACCACTGTCTCCTTGGCTGAAGGTAATTTGGGCAAGGGAATAAAATGGGCCGCCTTCGAGAACCGGTCCACCACGGTCAAAACTACCGTGTGACCCTGGGAGGGCGTTGATAAAATCTAGCGCGATGTGGGACCAGGGTCTCGAAGGCACCGGCAGCGGTTGAAGCAACCCATCTGGGGGTCGATTGGAAGTCTTACCTGTGGCACAAACTGAACAAGCCAATACAAAATTTCGAACGTCACGAGACATGAGAGGCCACCAGAATCGTTGCTTAACCAAAAACATGGTACGACTGACTCCTGGATGACACGCCACATTGGAACAATGACCCCACTGAATGACGCTGGACCGTAAACTCTCCGGCACGAAGAAACGGTTCGGTGGGCAACGAGTCGGAGGCGTTACCCCTTCTAAGGCCTTCTTGACCTTCGATTCGACCTCCCATGTGAATGTAGAGATGAATAGATTCTCTGGTAAAATGCACTCGGGAGTAGACGGGCGATCGGAACGGTCAAAAATGCGCGATAAAGAATCGGGTTTGATGTTTTTGGAACCCGGGCGGTACGAGAGTGTAAAGTCAAAACGTCCGAAAAAAAGAGCCCACCGAGCCTGCCTGGAATTAAGTCTTTTAGCAGTGCGAATGTATTCCAGATTCTTGTGGTCGGTCCAGACGATAAAAGGTACCCCCAACCCTTCTAACCAGTGGCGCCACTCCTCCAATGCTAACTTGACCGCCAACAATTCTCTGTTGCCGATGTCATAATTGCTTTCAGCGGGGGATAAACGATGCGAAAAAAACGCGCAAGGGTGCATCTTGTCGTCTGA